CTGGGCTTTGGAAGGGAAGAAATAAAGTGACAGACTCCAATCTCCCCTGGCACTCAGGACAGCTCAAATTTTACATTAAGGCCATGGAGTTTTCATGCAGCTTTGTGTGTTATCAGTAGATTTTTTGACTCCTTTTGGCCAGCTGGAACTTTGTTTGCATAAAAAAACCTTCTTGTTTAGGATTTTTTTTGTTTTTCCTAAATAAATCTATTTTTATTCAAGGCACGTTCAAATCTTAATAATTTTAAAAAGCACAAAACCCATAAACCACAAAAATCTTTCAGATTTATTAAATATTAAATGGATTTCAGGGTGGTGAGACCTGAAGTTTTATTTGGGATAACATTTCTTTCCTTGCTGTAGGAACAATCACCAGTGAAGCCACGCAGGGCATTAATTACAGTCACAGATCTACAGAGTGTTAGTCTGAGACCTAAGTCCAAGCCATCACCTCATGCTACAAAATCATTAATGTAAGATGCTTTCTTCCTTGATTAGATAGTATATTTTTCTGTTTTAAACAGTGATCAAGGTTTTTCACTGAGTGGGAAACATTTCATTGTACCAATTTATTTTTTTCTCTTAGTATCTCCCCTAAAAATCAGATTGATCTTCGGAAGCATCTGAAGAAAGTCGATATACAAAGGTCTGTTCCTTTCTATTCTCTTGAATTCTGTTTTTATGATCTAGAAAAACTAGAGAACCAATGAAACTAATCATAATTGCCCTTCCAGAAGTCCTGGTGGCACTCCTCTGAATAGTAAAGAAAACACTGAATGTGGCTCTGGGCTGACCCCAATCATGACAAAGGCACTGCGGCGCAAATTTCAGGCAAGTCACTCTGTCCCTCTCCTTGGAATCATAAAGTGGCTTTAAAATCACAGAATTCCCTACTGGTTTAAGCACACTGCAGAATGGACATGCCATGGCAGGTTATTTGACAATCCCAAGAGGAAAAACTGCTTTTTTGGTGGTCAAGGGGGTGATTCAATGCAACTTTTAAAGTCATAGTTTGCAGAAGAACAAAATGTGAGGGTTAATAGCATCTTTTATTTTACTGCTTTGGTGTGTCTGATTTAAGGTGCCAGCCAAGAATTGCAGTTTTATCTCAGTGATAATGAGCTCAGCTCTCCAAGTTCTGACCCTTCCCTTCTTTTGACAGATGGCTCACCCGAAGAGTCCCTCGCCTGCACGGCTGAGTGCTGCAAACAGCTTTGATGAAAAGTAAAAAGGAAAGTAGGTTTATGGAACAATTTTCCATTTGTGGTCAGGAAGCCACTTGAATCCCATTTTTATTACACTCAGGCACATGTATTTGTAAGTAAATGTAGTGCACAGGAAAACGGGGCATTATGAAACCATGTAAAGCAGACTATGCTTTTTATCTCTCTCTAATGTCTCTCGATTTGGTTGCATCTTCATTCATAATGGAAAAAAAAAATAGGAAATTTCCCAAGTCCTTTGACACCTGGATGCTGCTAAAGCAGGAACTATTATATTCCTTGCACTGGTGCTGCTTGTCGTACAAATATGTTTGCTGAAATTCAGTATTTTTATATCTTTTTCTAACAAAAAAATATCTTGATGGTATTTGTACAGTTTCAAAGAAAAACAACAGTTTAATGCACTAACGTTATTAAAGTGGAAAGCTGCAAGCTTCAACGACCAGTTCGAGTAAGAGACCCTCGCACTGTGTATCGCTGCTTACAGGCGATGACCCCAAGCCTCCTTCCACGTCCCCGGGGCGTGCAGAGGTTGTGCCTGTACCGCGGCTCAGCTCACGCCAGCGCTCAGGAGCGGGGCAGAGCGTGAGTCCCGGTGGCACAGCCCTGCCCGGCACCCCGGCAGGGCTCCCGGGGCGCTGGGGAGCATCGCGATGGGGACCGCGATGCCCGCTGCGCTCCCAGCCCGGCGCGGCCGTGTCCGCGCCCTCCGGGGCGGGGCCGCCCATGCGCGGGGCCGGGCCGGGGCTCCGCCGCTTCCGGCCGGCAGCGGGGCCGGGAGCGGGGCCGGGCCATGCCGCCGCCCGGGGCCATGGGCACGGCCGCGGGGCCCATGAGCCTGCGGGAGCTGCTGCTGGCGGGCGGCGCGGCGGGCGGCGAGGAGGAGGTGTGCGTGGTGGGCATCTTCGGCAAAACCGCGCTGCAGCTGTGCTCCGAGAAGGAGGCCCTGGTGAGCGCCGTGTGCGACCGGCAGGTGTTCCCGCTGTTCCCGGAGGAGGATCCCGAGCTGGCGGATGGCGCCGCGGGGCAGGGCGGGGACCCGGCCGCCAAGGACTACAACCAGTTGCAGGCGTACTACAGCCAGGAGAGCCGCGTGTTGTACCTGGTGCTCACCTCCATCTGCGACACGCCGCAGCTGCTGCGCGCCTGCGGAGACCTGGCGGCGGCCGAGAACAGAGAGGCCGGACCCGGCCACCCCTCCGGAGGGCCGGCCCCGCTGCCCCACGCCGAGGCGCACGAGTTCTGGAAGCACCAGGAGAAGCTGCACTGCCTGAGCCTCCTCTACCTCTTCTCCGTGTGCCACATCCTCCTGCTGGTGCATCCCACCTGCTCCTTCGACATCACCTACGACCGCGTGTTCAGGGCGCTGGACGGGCTGCGGCAGAAGGTGCTGCCCTCCCTGAAGGCTGCCATCAAGGACTGCCCTGTCGGCAAGGAGTGGAAGCTCAACTGCAGACCATGCCCTCCACGCCTCCTCTTCCTCTTCCAGCTCAACGGGGCTCTGAAGGTGGATCCGCTGCCAAGCAGGGGCCAGGATCCCTGTGGTCACCTGGAAAAGCCACCCCCCAAGAAGCATTCCCCCAAGAGGAGGCTGCAGCACGCTCTGGAGGATCAGATCTACCGCATCTTCCGCAAGAGCCGGGTGCTGACCAACCAGAGCATCAACTGCCTGTTCACCGTGCCCGCCAACCAGGCTTTCGTCTACATCGTGGCCGGTGGGCCCCAGGACGGAGACGATCCTGTGGCCATGCTTCTCGACCAGCTCAGGAGCAACTGCACCATGAGAGAGACTGACTCGCTGCTGGCTCCCACCCTGTCGGGACCCAGGAGGTATCAGATGATGAGGCACGGCCGGCAGCAGCTCTCCTTCCACGCAGAGAGTAGCAGCTCCAGCTCCTCTGGGCAGCTCGTGGACTGCACCCTCAAGGAGTTCTTGTGGCAGCACGTGGAGTTGGTGCTCAGCAAGAAGGGCTTTGAAGACAGCGTGGGGAGGAACCCGCAGCCCTCTCACTTCGAGCTCCCGACCTACCAGAAGTGGGTGGCTGCAGCTCTGAAACTCTATGAAGTGACTATCGAAGGCAAAGACGATGACCCAACCTGCGGCGAGCTGAGCTCAAAAATCATGAGCAGCATCAAAGTTTTGGAAGGTTACTTAGACATAGACACCAAGTTCTCCGAAAACCGTTGCCAGAAGGCTCTGCCCATGGCCCACAGCGCCTACCAGTCCAACCTACCCCACAATTACACCATGACAGTGCACAAGAACCAGCTGGCCCAGGCCCTGCGTGTATACAGCCAGCACGCCCGGGGCCCAGCCTTCCACAAATACGCCATGCAGCTCAACGAGGACTGCTACAAGTTCTGGAGCAACGGGCACCAGCTCTGCGAGGAGCGGAGCTTGACAGACCAGCACTGTGTGCACAAGTTCCATCTGCTCCCCAAAGCAGGTAAAGATGCTCACTCATGCTTTGGTTTCATGTTTGAGTTTTGTATCTGCTTCAAAATGCTTTAGGCTGAAAGCACCGACTCCAAAATGTTGTGGGATGTGAAAGTTTGCAGCTTTAAAGTGTCGTGTTCAAGGAATGGATGTGGCACTCGGTGCTGTGCTCTAATTGACAAGGTGACAACCAGGCAAAGGTTGGACTCGATGATCTCAGAGGTCTTTTCCACCCCAAATGATTCTGTGATCATCTCTACAGTAGGATCATAGCAGAGCTGCTGTGCAAGTTTCCCTTATGTTGAGTTTAGGAGCCAGTCCATTGTTAGTAGTAACTCTTACTCTGATTTTAATAGTAACTCTGATTCTATCTTACTAACTAAAAGCAATTATTCTGGAGTCCTAATGAGAGGAGTATAAGAACAAAGTTCTCTAAAAAGCATAAGTATCCCCCTTTGTTTTAAATAACCTGGTTGATCAGAAAGTCAAAACTGACTTCTTCAAGTTCATTGCAGGCAGAAGAACTTTGAGCTTTCAGGAAGAGGTTATAAAAACAAGATTTGGTTTAGTGGTATAACCTCCACTGGAACTTTGTATTATTCAAAGTAGGAAAGGGAGGAGTTGCTTGACAAACATTTTGTATTTGAGTATAGTAGGGAGGGAGCAATGGATGAAGGGGAATAAAGTAAGTTTTGAATGGTGAGCAATTTGCTCAAGGTTTGATTGATTTTGCTTTTAGGGGAAAAGCCAGAAGCAGACAGAAATCCTCCAATTCTGTACCACAACAGCCGGGCTCGTTCCACTGGTGCCTGTAACTGTGGAAGGAAACAAGCTCCTCGGGAGGACCCCTTTGATATCAAAGCAGCTAATTATGACTTTTACCAGGTAACTGTTAGGTCTATTGGTGCTTCAAGTGCTTTTGTTTCATCTGTATTTTGAAGTGACCACAAGTTTCCTCTTAACCTTATCAGCTTTTTGCTTGGGGGAGACATTTCTGGGAGCAGAAATGGGCTGACCAGGATGGGCAGTTCCAGTCTACCAGTGCATACACACAGGAACACCTGTTAATTGGAATGTGTTGGTTCATGTGAATTTTAAATAATCAGATCTGTGGGCCATGTTCCCACTGCTGCTTTGGTTCTCACGTGGTGCAAACCTCTTGAATCTTAATTGTAGCTGCTGAATGTTGTGGCTCTGAGCTCCCTCATCTCGGGGTGGATACTAAACCACATTTTCTTTCTTGCAGTTGCTGGAAGAGAAGTGCTGTGGAAAACTGGAGCACATCAACTTCCCCATATTCCAGCCAAGCACACCTGACCCGGCGCCTGCTCGGGACGAGGCATCGCCCGCCCCTCCAGAAGGCGAGATGGAGAAACTCAAAGAGAAAGAACCTCAGACTCAGGGAGAGAGCACAGGCCTGAGCTTAGCCCTGAGCCTGGGCCAGTCCACAGGCAGCCTGGGCACTTACCCAGCCGATGCCCAGGGCGGAGGGGACAATGCAGAAAGCCACGGGCAGAGCGGAGACTCCAAGAGCGAGAAGAGGCCGAGCCTGGTGGATCGCCAGGCTTCCACTGTCGAGTACCTCCCTGGGATGCTCCATTCCAACTGCCCCAAAGGCCTTCTGCCCAAATTCTCCAGTTGGTCACTGGTCAAGCTGGGGCCTGCTAAGGCTTATAACTTCCACACAGGCTTAGATCAACAGGGCTTTATCCCGGGAACAAACTATTTAATGCCTTGGGACATCGTCATCAGGACGAGAACTGAAGATGAAGGAGATTTAGACACCAATTCCTGGCCTGCACCCAACAAGGCTGTTCCTGGGAAAAGAAGCTCGGTGGTGATGGGAAGAGGCCGGCGGAGGGACGACATCGCTCGGGCTTTTGTGGGCTTCGAATATGAAGATGCACGTGGGAGGAGGTTCATGTGCTCAGGGCCTGATAAGGTGATGAAGGTGATGGGAGGGGGGCCGAAGGAATCTGCCCTGAAAGCCCTCAACTCCGACATGCCCCTGTACATCCTGTCCTCGACGCAGGGCCGGGGCCTCAAGCCCCACTACGCCCAGTTCATGAGGCTCTTCGTGGTGGTTCCCGATGCTCCTCTGCAGATCACCTTAACGCCTCAGGTAGGAAGTGCAGGAGGGGATCTGGGATGGAAACAGGTGGCTGTGGAAACATTCATTAACAAGGATGACAAGAAACTCCAACTTTAGCCAAGACAGTTGTTTCCAAAAGTATCTGTTACATAAGCACTTGGGATTTCTTAAACTTCAATGTGCCAAATTTATACTTTGTATAAAGTAGGTTTACAAAATGTTTTATCAAGGATAAGTTACTGGCATTTCCTGCTGTAATAATGGCTTTTAAAAACCAAAAAAAAAACAAACCAATGGCTCTTTAAGAATTACTTTGTCATTTTAAATGTCATGGAGAAAAGCAGTGACTCATTGCTCAATTATTACTAGTTACAATTTGAATTTAAGAGGTGAAAAAATGTTGGTTTTTCTGATTTGGAGAATTCTTCACCATTTCTTCCATTTTTCTTTTAATACACATTTGCAAAAACTCCATTTGCATTTTATTACTTTTTGAGGTAGTAATGATATTTGATTACCTACTTGTGTTTTCTTTTGGCTTTAGGTTCAACCAGGACCACCACCCTGTCCCATATTTTACCCTGAGAAGCAGGAAATCACCCTTCCCTCTGATGGACTCTGGGTGCTGAGGTTTCCCTATGCCTACGTGACAGAACGGGGGCCCTGCTTCCCTCCCAAAGAAAGCCAACAGTTAATGAGCTACAAAGTTCTCCGAGGAATACTGAAAGCAATTACACAGTAATTGTGGTTCGGGGTATCTGTGTTTTAGTTTAAGAAGGCTGTCTTCAATCCAGCTCCTGGGTTTTGGTTACCCAACAGTTGTCACTGCAATTGTGTGAAACCCCCACTGTATTTCACTGGAATACGGTCAGATTGGAAATAACGTTGATATCAAAGCAGGAAAAGGGATCTGAGACATGTAAATTTTCCATTTGTTAAGTTTTCATATGTAAAAAATAAAAGCTGGTTTTCATAAAGTGCTGTTCCTGTATTACTAGATGTTTTGATGACAGTGCTTTTCCCCATCCTGTCTTTTATGTACCTGCTTAGGAATATTAAAAAATTAGCACTGCCTGAAATCAAGAGTTTACTTTGTCATATTGAGGCAATGATGAGCAAAATCTTTTCTTTCTCTGAACAAGCTATTTTTATGTAAATTATGCTTTTAATGTGATGATAGGAGAAATCATTTTGTCTTGGGAAAAACAAAAAGATACTGCAGTTCTGATGTGTATTAACAGCAAAGCCAGAAACTGTGCTCACCTGTATCAAGTGACTCAGTGCCAAAAAATCAGCCACAGTAAATCGACTTTTAACTGAGGTAAGACGTATTAGTGACAGCAGCTGTATGCTGAGACCTAATTTAATTTCTAGAATATTTGTTTCTAATTAGCATGCACATAAAATTTAATTTGCCAGTTTGCTATAGTGCAGTAATTACACTGCATGACCGGAGCTGAGACCTGATTTTTGCTCGGAATACTACATCTGTGAGGGGCTGGGTGAGGAAAAGACATCCCTGCATGTGGAATACAGCATTAGGGGTTGGGTTATAAGGTCTTTAAAGGTCCTTTCCAAACATTCCATGGTTCTGTGATCTTTCAGGGGCTCTGAGTATGGGAAATATGTCCCTCCCATTCAGAATATGACATTGCTGAGGGACTGGATGAAGAAATCTTATTCCAAATGCAGAGATGTGCTATCTCTGAGGGTTTGGGTGTGGAAAATGCATCCCTCCTGTTTGGAATATGACATAAAGGGCTGGACTAGGTGAGCTCTGAAGATCCAACCCAACTGTTGTATGATTTTATAGGAGTCTGAAGGGCTGATTTTATAGAAATCTGTTCTGAGGGGCTGTGTGGGGAAAGCGCATCCCTCCCGTTTGGAATAGGACATGTGTGAGGGAAAACGCATCCCTTAGGAATACGACATCTTTGAGGGGCTGGGTGTGGGAAACGCATCCTCCCACCTGTGAGGAGAGAGCCGGCACAGCCAGGCGGAAAACAAAAACGTGCAATTGCGAATTACCCCATCGCACTTGCGAAGCGATTTTTTTAACCGTGACAGCCCCTCCCACGGGGCGGATACTGGGCGGGGGTGTATAAATCACATCCCTCCACCTGCGAGCGAGGGAGCCGGTGGGAATTAAAGCGTGCGGTCGGGAATTACACCCGCAGCGATCCAAGCAGCGGCGGCTGCGGGCAGCCCCTCACGGCCGGGCGCGGGAAGGGAAGGGCGCGGGAAGG